AATGTGCGGGTCAACCGTACCCTCACTTGGAATTGGGCATTCGTGTACCTTTATCAAATCTATCCACAAACCTTTTTACACGAATTATTATATTCCCTCCTCAGATTTTTCCAAAACTGGCTAATGATTAGAGACACAACATTTTAATACAACAGTAAATTTAATTGTGCCGCACATTTAAAATTTTATACAAAATTTTATATATAAACTAGCTGACCCGGCAAATGTCGCGTCGTCATTCTCAGACTTACTGAATATGCATAAAAATTTCATAAGAATCGGTTCAGCCGTTTCGGAGGAGGGAACGAACACAGTTTTTTCTTTAAATGTGTAAAGGTTATGTTAATCAAAGACAATACTATATAGAGATATATTTTTTCCAAAGACTACATATCTTGAAATTTCATTTACTTTGTTTGTATCATATAAAATTATTAAATAAAATTCAAATGTTATACTTGTGGCCTTCGCACTTGTCACTCGACATTAGTATCTATAAAATAATGCAGCCTTGAATTCGGCAGCTTTAAATTATATTCAATAACTTTGAAAATTATTCCTTTCTGTAATGTACATTCAAGCTCGTTATCACTCACAGATATATCTCAAAGATAACGAGACCAATTTCCCCAAAGAAAATATCAAGTTTATATTCCGTCCGTGTCTCGAGCGACTTAATCTTAAAAAACAATATTTTTGTAGCCACCGCGTCCCGGCGATACGTTTAACTTAATCTTGTTATAAACTTGAACGTCTTAGAACTAAGACTTATTAGACACCTTAAGATGAACTTTATTGTTATTATACAATTCGAGTAGCCAGTAGTTTTAATTGAAAGAATTCATTCTACATGGTATTGTCTTTTATTGACATAACTTTTAGACTTAGAAAAACACTTTTTTAACGGATTTGAAGTTTATTATAAATTTACAATTATTTTACATAATTTTAAATTTAACCGACGTTTCGCGTGCTTTATAGTGTGCGTGGTCACGGTGACTGAAGACAAAAGGTGTTGAATGTCAAAAAGTATCACAGCTGTAGAAAAAGTTGTGTTATCTGTATTTATTTCCCCGGAGTTGGTATCGACATAACTTCAAATCCGTTAAAAAAGTGTTTTTCGAATTCATTCTCATTCAAATTCAAAATCATTTATTCATTTAGGTAATACTCGTACAATGTATACTTATGAACGTCAATAAAACTTTATTGTTATTATTCAATTGGAGTAGCCAGTAGTTTTAATTGAAAGAATATCAGACATTCTTATTCAAATTCAAAATCATTTATTCCTTTAGGTAACACAATGTATAGTTATAAACGTCAATAAAAAAATATATATGTAATACTTCTTATTTTACATTTACTGCCAGTTCTCAAATCAAGAACGTAGAACGGAAGTGAAGAACTGGCAATAAACTTTCCGTCAGTCTTTTTAATCGCCAAGATTTTTGATTTACAAAATGTTTGTAAGGAGCTGCAACCATTACATGTTCCACATGACATCTTTAAGTAATTAACAATAGCATTCCATGCTAGTTGGATTTTAATAAACGCTTTTAGTTTTATTACAATTACTAAGTTTTCAGCGTTTAATAATCTGTCGTAAGAGATTTTATCAAAGACTAGTAGACTCGGCCAAGCGTTGCTGTGGCTTAGATTTTTGTTATATTACATAGTAGTAAACTATTCAAGAGAAACGTCAGGAGAACACCAATCCACCTTTCTTTTTTGGTGGTTATGCCATTAAATTGTAGCTTATGTGAAACTTTGGTAATTATTTTGATAAGGATCAATACCTAGGTACGAATAAAGAGCCTTTTCTAGGTGTGGTATTTTAATAAAAAATAAAATAAAAGGACGCTTATTGTGACGTAACTATAAAAGATAGAGACATGCTGTCGCGACATTTTTTATAGATAGTGATGTGTCCTGAAAAATTGTAATACATCATTTTGTTCTATCATTAATAGTTTTCGCAGCGCACGCGATTGAAGGAAGTTTTTTGTTTATTTTTTTTACATCTTGGGTTAGATTATTCAAGTTTTTAATGAAACATAGCCTATGTCACTCGGGAATAGTGTAGCTTGCCAACGGTGAAAGAATTTTTGAAATCGGTCCAGTAGTTTCGGAGCCTATTCATTTCAAACAAACAAAAAATCAAACCTTTCCTCTTTATAATATTAGTATAGATAAAATACTTCATTTGTTCCTTATAACAAGTAAAATGATCAATAAATTATTAAATGCCATAACTAATTGCAAAGGACTCTATCTAGGCAAAACTTCGAGATGTCTTGGACGACAATCTAGTTGTATCTGAGCTTCCATATCACGTATAAAATTTGCAACCAAGCTAAGTGTACGGAACATTTTTGATATTTTTTTTCGATATATCTTCAATAACTTTGAAAAAGTACATTTGGGTGGGTTGGAATTTTTTTTCGTGATATGATCTCTTATTTCGATAATTTTGTTGCAAACTCTTTGCTTTTACACAAAACTTATTTTTAAAATTTAAATTTAATACCCCCCCCCCCAAAGTTGAAAGGTTATTATGAATAATGTCGACTGACTGGTCTATTAATAAAAGTTGAAAGGTTAAATATGTCGGTTGCTTATTTTACTTAATAAAACTACAATTAATACTAATATATGTTGAAGGTGATGCATTCTTTATAAAACTCATTTACATACAATAATAATTTGAAATGAAAACATAATTTATGTTGTTTTACGGCCCATTTAAAAGGTGCTGAGATTACGAGATTATGTTTATGAATTCATTAAAGATTTTAATACGCAGCTTTTTGGATTAGGTGGGGTCGTAGATTGCTCTTTTCTTTAATCGTTTAATACATCATATTTTTTTAAATCACTAAACAGACATATTAAGTAATTATTAATAATTTCCGATATGAAAACTTTTTACATTTTTCTGTCATTTTTGTCTATATGAGAGTCTATCTCCAGAGTTCAAGTAATAAGTATAACTTATTGCTTAACTAACTATAACTAATAAGTATAGCTTAACTAACAAATAAGAAGTAAGGGTTGATCGTAGAGGGTAGATTAAAATTAAGAGTTGTATGTATTTTTGTATGCTGTATCATAAAAAAATAAAAACAAAAAAATTACTAAAAAATAAAAAAACCCCTTATCACTTAGGGGTTTGAAAGATAGATAGTAGCCGATTCTCAGACATACTGAATATGCATAAAACATTTCATAAGTATCGGTCGAGCCGTTTCGGAGGAGTTGCGACAACATTGTGAGACGAGAATTTTATATAATAGATGTAATTCTAATTTATTATTAACAAATGTGGAACTTTTTAAACTTTTACTTTAACCAATGTTTTGTGGTATTAGGATAGATAAAGGCTTTAGGCTACGTTTCCTGTGAATTAATTTAATGGTGTTAATTTTTGTAGAGCAGTGTTGGCCTAGTGGTTTCAACGTGAGACTCTTCCTGGTCGTAGGTCCGATCCCCGCCTGTGCACCAATGGACTTTCTGTCGCTCGTACGGTGAAGGAAACCATTGTCAAGAAACCGCCATGCTAGGCCAGAAAATCGACGGTGTAAGGCACAGACGGTTGATCACCTACTTGCCTATTAGAAATGATCACGGAACAGAAATCTAAGGTACAAATGTAGCGGCCCGGTTGTAGCGCTATTGGTAGGTATGTTAAGTCGTACGCACAACGGACCATTTACGAGTCTTGGGTCTACTACCCTAGGTATGTTAATTTTTGTATGAAACACATTGCCGAACATATTGTCACATAAAGAAGATGTACACTAGTAAATATATACAAATATTACTAAAGTAAAGTGTTTTTAACATTATAAACTGCTGACCTTACACTACAATATAAAAATAAGTCGATTTAATGTACCGTGATTGCTTTGTATGGGGAAAGGGACTATTTATAGACACAATCGATTTCACTCACCACTTTTTATTACAACTTTATTAGGTTTATTCAACAGAATCTAGTTCAGTGTTCAATTTCATTTCAACGTTAAACACTTAATCAAAATGTGTAAGTAATTTTGTTTTTATTTACGACAGAAGTCGCAAACTTGTGTTTATATTTGATAGTTCTAGGGGTTAATATTAAAATTAGTTTTTTTGTAATATTTTGGAAACACACAACAAAATTTAAATGGAAAAATCATCTTTGAAATTGATTCTGTATTGTTTGAGTTTGACAAGTCTGCGCGTTGCCAGCCTTATCGCTACGAACGCCCTCAACACTAATAAAATAAAACAGTATTAAAAAGCTAGTATACATGTGTCGAATACAAACGTGGATCAAGTATTGATCAGTCTACTGAAGAAGAAGATGCTGCCTCACAATACTCAAGGAGATAAGGAAAATCTTTTAATGATATACTATATTTATTCCATTTAGCTTGAATATAGACCATTAAATAACTAGCATACAAGTAGAAATAACTTTGTAATACATATAAATATATTTATTGTACAATATAAAGCTATATATAATCTTTACATTAGGTAACATTAGGTCAATAAAATGAATAAAAGTCAAACTACTGTTACAAAATTTTAATAGAGAAATAAATCCATTAAATTTCTTACAATATACTGTTCTACTAAAGAAAATAGCTATCCCTTCTTTGTGAGTTATCTCAATTCTGTAGCGCGCTGCATCGTAGAGATCGGAATCTATTAGGAAATACCGAGTTCCTGTGCTGGCTTCAGATGTAAGGCATTTTTTGTTGTTTTCGTAACTTTATATCGGAAAGATTCGTTAATAAAAAGTTTTATAATATTAACAAAAATATAGAGAACAAAACACAAACTTGACATTTGACATTTGCTCCGTCAATTGTCAACGTCATTTGTAACATAGACAATATTTATTTTAGCAAAATTACACAAAACAAATAGTCTTAAGCTTTATGAGTTATTAGTTATTATTTCTGTAATAAAATAGGTCGTTAACAAATAAAATATATAGATTTAAAGGATTACATTTGTTTTTGGATTTCATTCTCATTCCCGCCATCTTCGTATCCCTTCACCAAGTTCTCTAAGATGAACCTTATGGTTAGCTTGTAGATGTTCTCAATGTTTGGCGTGTATCTGTCTCCAAGTGTCGTTTTGGCTGCTTCGAGGAAAGGCTGCTCGATTTTCTGAAAATTTTCGTTTCATTATATCAAGTGACTTCAAAAATGAAGACTAAGTTTCCTGTATGCGATATTGTTCTAAATTTTGTAAATTTGAACACAACTTTCTCGGAAATTAAATATAAATTAAATCCTATTCAATATTTTTGTCTATCGAAGAAATAGTAATATAGATAAAAATATTAAACAAATTAAATCCAAATGGGTTAAGTACTTTTTGTGATATTGATATAATATATTTGAAGTGGTAGTATGAATATCACGTCGATTTTCTGTGTCCAAAGATAATAAGGATAATAAAAAAGAAAATAAAGATAATAAGTTCTTTTTCCAAACCTAGCTAGGAATCGTATTACACTTCATAAAATATATTATTAATGATGAGCAACGCACTTCAATTTAAATTAAAACTCAATTTTAAAAGGGTTTGAATATGATTCAAGATATATTAATTATTGTTTTATTCGGAAACGTGTATATTCATTTGCACGGGCTTTGTACTTAATTTTGAAACGTTTTTAATTTGGCCATGTCAGTTACTGATAAGAGTCAGATCTATATATAATTTGGATTCAAATTTAATTAAAATTGTTAGTAAAAATCCTATTTATAAAGCGTCAGTGCAGCAAAAAGTTTAATGAATCAATACAACCTACTTTCCTGCATCTTTTCAAGTCAAAGGGAAAGCGAGCATCGTAAAAGTTAATTACAATAGTTCTACGCGATGCTTTATATCTTACTTCAAAAAGAAGTTATAGTAACAGCTTATGATGAATTTTGTAAAACATTGGGTTTTATTACAATGTATGAACAATCTTGACAACTGTACCACAAAGAACGGTTCAGTGGCCGTTGATACACAATTTTATATTAAAATAGTAAGCCCTGAGTTCATACCTTGTTTCGATATATTCTTAACATGAAGAAAGGAAAAAAAAAAAAAAAGGCAAAACAACAATTGTGAGTAGTAAGGATAAGGAAAAATTAGTCTGGAAACAATGAGGTTAGGTTTAGTTAGATATATATATATTATAAAGTCTCTTAGAGTTTTGATGAGAAGTAAGAAAAAAAAAAAAAAAAAAAAAAAAAAAAAAAAAAAAAAAAAAAAAAAAAAAAAAAACCAAAAAAAAAAAACTTTAAAAGTTTTGTAGAAATAAAAAAAAAAAAAAAAAAAAAAAAAAAAAAAAAAAAAAAAAAAAAAAAAAAAAAAAAAAAAAAAAAAATGATAATTCTTAAACTACTGCTTCGAATTAAAGGGAATTTAAAATATACCGTGTTTATACAATGCCGGCTTGGTTACTTCGTAAAAATAGGCTTCCAGTTTCATCCACTACAAAGATATAGGGGGTCGAAAATGGCCTGATCTAAAAAGGATGGCTACGCGAACTATATACTCGTATTATGATACAATAAGATCATTATTTAGTTATGTATCTTTTGGCCTACGAAGTATTCAATACATTTGCCAAATTCGTCATACACTTAATAGAGAACTTTATGTGTCATAAAAAATATGGATTAAAAAAAATGATTTCTATTTTCAAAAAAACCTTACCAAAAAGTTCTCAGCCTTGAACCCTGGAACCTGTCGATGTGTTCCACCCACGTGGCGCACGTAGGCGAAGAACGAGTCCATATCGGCCAGGCCTTTGATCCCTTCATCCAAGGTATGCATCACCTGGGTAGCATGTTCAGCTAGCTCCGCTGAACTCACGATGGCTTCCTTAGTTCGAAGCTCACGGAATTTCTCAAATAGATGAAGCAGCTCTTCGTTTTCTTCAAATAACCTTAAAGAAAATATATAAAATATGATTGAACTAAAATCGTTTAGTGAAAACTTGGAGAAATGATTTTTTTAATTATTAAATACCTTAGGTCGACTATTACTACAGTAATTAGAGAGGTAAGAAGAAGAATGAATATTAACTGGCAACTAAAAAGAGTGGCGGAGAGTTTATTGCCAGTTCTTCTAGTCCGTTCTACGCCCTTGATTTCAGAACTGGCAGTAAATGTAAAATTAGAAGCATTTAGCATTGAATATGTATTTCTTTATTGGCGTTCATAAGTGTACATTGTGTTACCTAAATGAATGCAGTCAAACCTGGGTAAGTGAGAACTGGATTAGTGAGAATACTCTATAAGTGAGAGTAATAGCCGGGACCCGTCATTTTAAGCTCCCAAAACCTCTATTAGCGAGAAACAGAAACCTCTGTAAGAGAGAGTCGTTTTTCCCTCATGGACCTCCGTAAGTGAGACTGCTACTTATCTATACCTCTATAAGCGACAGTCGAGCTTGTACTTTGAATACGCGGCGGTTGTTGATCAAGCAATATTCGACAAAATTTATGAGTTAGAGAAAAACATTCAAAATACAAAAACAGAAACCCAAACGAAATTGACGGATTTTAGTTAAGTGTTGTGCACATTATGCACATAATTTTATCATATTACATATTTACTACATTCCTATAAAGATTTTCTCACAATGTTTTACAAAACAAGAGAAAATGCTTTTATTAAAAAGTAAATAAAAGTAAAGAGTCGGGTGTACCACAAAGAACCTCGTCTATATCCTTAACAAGAAGAAAGGCACACAATTGTCAGTCGTAAGGCTATGGAATATATTAGTTTGGGAACAATAAGAGAGGTCAGACTGATATCCTACTGATACCTTGCCTTACAATAGTCACAAAACGCACAAAACACTCACTACAAAATTATAAAATTGAGGACCTAACTAACAAATATAATTGGCAAAAAATAATGCGTCCAACACAATACGAGTAAGTCAATCAAAAATGTGACAATCGGCCGAGTTAAAATATTTTAGAATACCCTCATCAAAATTTATGAAACTAAAATTATGTAATTTGAATACGGGGTTAAAACCCACGACCAGAATCACTTGCTTAGCAACCTAGTACGGCTTTATTTCAATAATTCTGTATGTAATGACATTACTGTCAGTATACATTATTTAACGACATCGCAGAATAAGTATAGTTAAATAAGACCAAAACCATCATGAAGTTTCATGATCATTTTTCAATCTAGGAAGCAAGTAGGTGATTCCTAATAGACCTTCTGTGCCTGACACACGCCATCTACTTTTTGGGACTAAGACAAGCCGATTTCCTCACGATGTTTTCCTTCACCGTTCGAGCGAAAATGGGTACATAGATAGAAATTCCATTGGGACACAGCCGGGGATCGAAGCTACGACCTCAAGGATGAGAGACGCTGGAGCCACTAGGCCAACACTGCTGAAAATAAACAACTAGGTTTACCATTATTTTCCCGATTAAGATCTCGTGTTGGACACAATTAAATGCTTCAGATAAGTCGCAGAAAACACCTAAAGCATCATGTGACTCCTTCCAAGCCTAAACTATATATCTATATAACTCAACACCGGCATCGGCTGTCGAGCGACCCCCCGATTATTATGTAATAATTTGTTTACGTTAAAATGACTTACCAGTTCATTTAATATAGTTTTTTCAAATATTTTACTACAAGTAGGTAGTACGGTTGGAAAGTTACTGGGGTCGGACATACTACCTGCTTTAAATAGTGGAATAACTTTACCATGTTTCATTAGATCGAGAAACTCGCCCCTTTCAATACAATTGTTGAAAATAATAGCTAGATGGGGAGCAATTACATCAATTATGCTACTAATTATGTTTACAGAAATACCCCAAAGATCGGTAGTGTTCTTAATGTCTATGGATCTAAATATCCTAACTATATCGTCGGCACCAATTGGTCGGAAATGTTGATCACAATTCTGAAAGCTCGGTTTCTATTCAAAATAGAATAACAATTATAATTCCAATACAAAATCTCGCTCAATCTAGTACCAGTTGAACAATTCAGTATCAATATAATTGAACAATAACCGAAAACTAATAACAGTCGGATAGCATTTCTAAACCAGCATAATTTTAATAACGTTTGTACGACTACAATTCTGTTACGCGATTATCACATCTATAAAGTTTACCTAATAAAGTTGAAATTGTCCATGGTTTTTATAAGGAAGCACGATTTCTTTGTAAAATGACAAGACGAAGTTGATGGTCATGGCCTTATCTGTTGAAAGACGTTGAAACAAGTGCGGCAATACAAGTATTTGGGAACTTGGGTTACAAACGAGTGGAATCCTGATTAGGAAATTAGGTTTCGAAATGAAGAAAGTTTTGTGCTGGCGTCGTCAATCGAGTTAAAATGTCGAAAAAACTTAACCAGAACAACGGAAAGTTGCGTACTTGGGTCACGTGTTGCGGCATGACTTCTACCACCTTCAATAAATTATAATCTCGTGACTGTTGGCTGTTACAGTGTACTGACGATGTTTTGATTCGTGAATTGAAATACTTTGTACATTTTTATTAACCAATTGAACAATATCTAAATTTGAGTGTTCATTTTATACTTATTTGTACTGATTCTGTGTGTACGCAACTCAAACTGTGCAAACCTACTAGTTTGGACGTCAAGGCAAAATACAAAATACCATCCGTATCACCTCGTCCGTCGTTCCACAACTGAGCGTTTTTTAAGGCAGTTTTTGCCGCGCACCACCACTATGTAGAACCAACTGCCCACGGAAGTATTTCCGAACCAATTCGACTTAGGGTCCTTCAAGAAAAGAGCGTAAAAATTCTTGAAGGCTCGGCAACGTGCCGGTAACGCACCTCTGGCAATGTGAGTGTCCATGAGCGGTGGTATCACTTAACATCACGTGAGCCTCCTATCCGCTTGCCTCCTATTACATTAAAAAAAAATTTGAACACAAAGCGACTTTGTATGTAACATGAGTTAAACCGGGACTTCTGATTCGCTAATCTCTCTTGGCCAGAGGCCTAAACTCTTAATAGTATATGTCGTTATTTGCATTATGCATGCCGAATAAAATGTTAACATTGAAATGTATGCCTTTTTACTATCCAGACACATTTTAATAAACAATTTCTTTTTCTAATAATTATCTTCAGGTACCAAGGTTAAAGCCACTTAGTTTTTTGGTGTATATTTAAAAATACTGCCAACTGCGAAATGCCAATACATCGATGTCCTGTCTACAACGATCTCATACCTCCGCCATACAATGTTCAGAGATCTTTCGCCTTATTCTATGTTTGTAGAAAAAAGGACACTAACAATAGAAAAAATTTACTCTTATCATTTTTCCCTAACGTGCCAAAAGTAGTTTAACTTCAAAAAAACTAAAATGTTGACAATGGCTAACTTCAGGGCGTCGGTATTTTGTGACGGTGTGCGCGCGCATCGTATAAATTTACTCTCATCATTTTTCCCTAACCTTGTATATGTTGTGTCGTTTGTGTAAATATTCATAACGTGCAATCATGAAAGTTTTCCCCATTTGAAATTTCTATTCAATAAAAAGTACTGGATTGTACGATAAACTAACTACTAAAAGCAGTCATGTCAATCTATGCATAACACAACGATGAATTGTAAAAGCTGTCTGCTTCTCCATGTCTATCATAACAAGTCTCAATCGAGCTATTTCGCCTGACAAGAGATGCAATGAACGTGCGATTTGCTGCAGTTACATTCGCGAACAAAATTGTTTTTTTAATATTTACTATTTCTTTTTTTTATTTACTCCGCTATTTAATCCTTACCATAATAATTAAAAAAATTTATTCAAATGTTCGGGTAGACATTAAATCGGCTATCAACCTCATTACCCAAAGACAATAATTTTTTACATTAAACATATAGCCAATTTACCCCCCAAGCAACCCCTATGTTTTAGATGGAAATACTTATTTTTATACTAATATTTTTTACTAAAAGTTGCCTTAACTTTTAAAAAAAGGTAAAATACAAAAAGCAAAATCTATAAAAATATTTTTAAATATATTTAACTAAGTAAATAATACTTAGTGTTATACACACAGTGCTGTGTCTAGATCATTAAAAAGTATAAATAAAGTCTCAAAAAAAAGCGAATGGTTAAAACCGTTAGAAAAGCACGTCCATACGCATTTCAAACAAGTAAATTTGGTAAAGAAGAGAGAAGAACTGCGAAAGCAAGAGAGTGCTTGTAGAAGTACGCCACAACGATATAGGTTATATTTTTACTAGAATAGTTCTTTAATCATTCTTCTTTTATAGCCATGTAGATTAAGCATAACAGAAGTCATCCATTTTGGAAGAATTGTTAATTAAAACACAGTACAGTCTGAGTAAAACACATGATCTCGGTTGCCTTAACCTAGTAATTAAGTTGGCCAACTATTAACATATTCATATGTATTATAAAGTTCTTTAATTTAATAGGTAATCTACAATAATCTTACATATACAATTTGTTATACATAGCCATTTGTGGTACACTTTAATTAAATTGTTCCACACACACTTACACCCACACATGCTCATGCTTTAGTTTTGTTTTGTTTATCTCATCATTACTTTAGTTTAGTATGTAGTAATCTTTTTAACAGTCGCTCGAACGATCAAGGAAAACATGGTAAGGAAACCGGCTTGACTTAGACCCGATAAGTCGACGGCGTGTGTCAGGCACCTGGAGGCTGATCACCTACTTGCCTATTAGTTGACAATGTTCATTCAGCAAAAACAGAAATCTGAGGCCCAGACCTTAAAAGGTTGTTGCGCCACTTGCGATTTTTTTTATTTAGTCATGTTTTTGTATATTTTCTGTTCGTTGGATTGGTTTCTATAGTCTTATAGGCACCAGGCCTACAAAGTTGATAAATAACTGCAACATGTAAACGCGCTTAATGCAATA